TTTTTAGGTTAAGGGGTATGGGCCTAGGAATTATGGGCTTGGCAATTGTGGGCTAGGTCCAAAATTAGGCCTAAAGATGGGTTGCTCGAGCCCAAGTTCTATTCTTTCGCTGCGAACGAGATTAAAAATACGGGCCCATTTATTAATTATTCCTACTATTCAAATAATTATTAAAATAAAACTAACCATTAAAACAAATCTATTTTTGGTATTTTCAAATATCATATTAAAATAAAAATACGATACTATTGTTTGTATATTTTTTTTAAGACTAACAATGACTACAAAACATTAATGAACCTATTTTTGTAATTTTTGATTTCTTGTAATAAAATAAAGTAAAAGAGTCAAAATTACTTAAAATATGAGGATTGTCTGGGCCAACTCTGCATGGCCTCTATCTTCTTGAATCCACCTGAATACCCTCTCTCGATACCACGTGGACTAAGAATGCCACTGAATCCAACCAAAACTCACATTTTGAGAACTTAGCATATAACTTCTTCTCTCTCAAAGTTTGAAGCACAGTCCTTAGGTGCTGCTCATGATCTTCCCAACTCTGGGAATACACCAGAATATCATCAATAAAGACAATGACGAACGAGTCAAGATACGGCCGGAACACACTGTGCATCAAATGCATAAAGGCTGCTGGGGCATTGGTCAGCCCAAATGACATAACAAGGAACTCGTAATGACCATACCGAGTCGTGAAAGCAGTCTTCGGGATATCTGGCTCCTGAATCTTCAGCTGATGGTAACCTGAGCGTAAATCAATCTTAGAAAACACCTGTGCGCCCTGAAGCTGGTCAAACAGATCATCAATACGAGGCAAAGGATAACGGTTCTTCACTGTCACTTTGTTCAACTGGCGATAATCAATACACATACGCATAGAACCATCCTTTTTCTTCACAAAAAAGACAGGATCACCCCAAGGTGATACACTGGGCCGAATAAAACCCTTATCAAGCAATTCCTGTAACTGATCCTTCAACTTCTTCAACTTAGGAGGAGCCATATGATACGGAGGAATAGAAATGGGCTGAGTGCCCTGCAACAGATCGATGCCAAAATCAATATCTCTATTAGGCAGCATGCCTGGAAGATCAGCTGGAAACACATCGGGAAAATCCCGTACTACTAGAACTGAATCAACTGAAGGGGTATCAATACCGACATCTCTCATATAAGCTAAGTACGCATCACACCCCTTCTCAACCGTACGTTGAGCTTTAAGAAAAGAAATAACTCTACTGGAAGTGTGATATAAAGTACCCCTCCACTCAACACGCGGTACACCTGGCATAGCCAGCGTCACGGTTTTAGCGTGACAATCAAGAATAGCCTAATGAGGCGACAACTAGTCCATGCCTAAGATAATGTCAAAGTCAACCATACTGAGTAACAATAAATCAGATCTGATCTCAAAACCACTAAGAGCAACCAAGCACGACCGATAAATGCGGTCCAAAACGAGAGAATCTCCCACAGGAGTAGAAACATAAATAGGGGAACTCAAAGAATCCCGAGATACACCCAAATGCGGAGCAAAATAAGAAGACACAAAAGAGTAAGTAGAGCCTGGATGGAATAGAACTGATGCATCTCTGTGACAAACCAATATAATACCCGTGATGACATAATCGGAGGCAATGGCCTCGGCACGGGCAGGAAGGGCATAGTATCTAGCCTGGCCTCCCTCTCTAGGGCGACCTCTACCTCCCTGACCTCCACCTCTAGTTGGCTGAGCAGGTAGGGTAGCAACTGGAGCAGTAACCATAGCCTGAGAACTTTGCGAGGCACGCTATGGAAGAGAAGTCTATGGAGGTGCACCCCTTCCAAGTCTGGGAAATCCCTCACCATATGGCGTGTGTCGCCACACTCAAAAAAAGATATAGGAGGACGTGGTGGCTGTGAATGGCTAGGGCCAGGTCTGCTGGACTGATCTCTGAAAGCACCCTGCATAGGAGGCGCGCTAGATACCGGTGGTGCATAATAAGGCTCGTGAGGCCTAGGAGGAGCTGGAGCACTATTGGCTGCTAGAAGAGTTGAATGAATAGGGCGACTCATATAACCCCTACCATGACGTCCTGCAGCTGGGGCACAGGCACCAGAGAAGTGGCGCCACTCTCGAGACCTCTTGGCCTCCCTCTCCTCTCTCTCCCTAGCATGCATACCCTCAATCCTCCTAGCAATGATCACCACCTACTGATAAGAAATATCCATCTCCAACTCACGAGTCATACTAGATCTGATGCTGGGAATAAAGCCCTCAATAAACCGGTGAACCCACTCGCGGATAGTAGAAACCAAGGCTAGCGCATGCCTAGCCAAACTGGTGTAATAGACAGTATACTCTGAAACAGTCAGAGCACCCTGGCACAAATTCTCAAACTCTGCGTGCCATACGTCTCTAAGGCTCTAAGGAACATACTCCCTCAGGGACAGATCTGAAAACTGAGTCCAAGTCAGTGAAGCAGCCTCATTTGAACTATCTAACTCATAGGTGCGCCACCACTCATAGGCGGCTCCTAGAAGCTGGAAGGTAGTGAAAGAAACCCCACTTGATCCTGAGATAACCATGGTACAGAGAATGAGGTAACACTCATCAAGAAATCCAAGAGCATCCTTCGATACTAGACCACATAATATAGTAGGCTTGTACTTCTTGAACCTCTCAAGCCTCTACTGCTCATCCTCGAAGGTCGTTGCCCTGTCCTTAAGCTGAACCGGCACTGCAGGCGGTACAGGAATAATCTCAAAGACCTGCTCAACATGCACTCCCTACTCAGGAGTACGGGCGGCGGGAGTCTGTGCTCCTCCCCCGGCCTGAGATGTAGCTGCAGTAAGGGGAAGAAACCCTGCCTGAGCCCGAGTGGTGTACACGCTCATGAGCTATGCCAGAGTCTCTTGAAGAGCTGGAGTAGTAGTAGTAGTAGTAGCAGGTGTGTCAGGTGCCTGGACTCCGGCTGGATCTGCTGGTGGTACCTTGGCGGCAGCTCGCGCATGTGCTCTGGCTGCACCACGTGCGCGTCCTCGGCCTCTAACCTGGCCCCGGTCTTTGACGGCTGTAGTAGGGGGCGCAGGTGCCTAATCATCTCGGGTATCACGTGTCCCCAACATCTGTGAGAGAATAGAAGATAGAAGTTTAGAATTGTGATGTCAAAATGTCATACGACAAGGAAATCAAATGAAGTGGAATTTTCCTAACAGTTACATAGCCTCTCGTAGATAAGTACAGACATCTCCGTACCGATCAGCGAGACTCTAATAAACTGGATTGTGATCCATGACTCCTACGAACCTAAAGCTCTGATACCAACTTGTCACAACCCCAGTTCGCCCTCCGTGAACTATCGTGACGGCACCTAGTCTCTATGACTAGGTAAGCCAAATAAATGCGGAACATAAACAAAACTTGCGGATGAAAATAACCAAAAACCAACAGTAACTGAATGGAACAATAGTTATAATGCCGCTCGACATATACAACACAAAATTCTCAAAACCAAGTACACTATCCCAAAACCCAGAAACTTACGGAAACACAAGCCTTTGGAATATCTAACAATCTAACTCCAGAATATCTAACAAGAAAGAAAAATACAAAAAAGCAATGTTTAACAGCTAGAATAGAGAGGGACTTCTCAGTCGGCAGACGCGGCAGATGTACCTCAAAGTCTCTAGAGCAGTCGCCTCCCTCAAGGATGGTAGGCTTGAGTAGCGGTACCTGGATCTGCATATAAAAAACATGTGCAGAAGGGGCATGAGTACACCACAACAGTACTCAGTAAGTGCCAAGTCTAACCTTGGTTGGGTAGTGACGAGGAAGGTCAGGGCCCTATTGAGGTTAAATAAAATATAAGGATCAACAGTATAGAACAAAACGGTATAAATAAGTACAACAGTAAAATAACACAGGATGTACAGGACAACAATAACTATACAGAAACAAGGTAAGCATGGAAAGGAATACAGCTCAACACCAATAATAACAATCGGGGATCTCCCAGGATACCGTCTTGTAGTCCCATCTATACATATCTAGTGGATCTCCCGGGATCCCGTCCTGTAGTCCAACTCATAGTGCGCGGGGATCTACCGAAATCTCGTTCCGCAGTCCCAAATGTAAATACCCAGTACTAGAGGAATCTACCAGGTGCATTCCCGTAGTTCCATATAACTGTGTAGGGGGATCTACGGAGAATCTAACCCGTAGTCCCAAAGTAAATGTGCAGGGGAGATCTACCGGGAATCTAACCCGTAGTCCCAAAATAAATACACAGCAGTAGCAGGAAGATATACAGAAATGGCAAAATTTCATATTAAGGCAATAAGTGATTCTAGCCTAGCATGCTGCACAGAATTCTAGTAAGGCAGGTTGAATCAAATAAAGCAATTAAGTCACTTAGACATGCTTTCCTAAACTGACAACAGGCTTAATAGTGCAAGTAATAGAAACAGGAAATGAAACATACTAGTAATTACTTAAATAAAATCGAATTTCCAAAAATTAGCACAAGTACGCGCTCTTCACCTCACGTGCAAGGCATTTCAATTACCAAATATACCAATCCTAAGGGGAAGGTCCCCCACACAAGGTTAGACAAGCCACTTACCTCGAACCGGCTCAAAAATCAATCCGAAACAACGCTCTTGCCACAAGTACTCAACTCCAAATCTATTCAATTCAATTCCATAATGTAAATAATACTTCAAGTAACTAATTCTACAATTAAATTCTAAGCTAATACACGAAATTGGGTAAAATGACCCAAACACCCCTCAGGCCCATGTCTCAAAATCGGGTGAAATTTATATTTTCAGAAACCTTGTACTCTCGCGAGTCTATACATAACAAGAACACTGAAATCGGAGTCTAAATAACCCCTCAAATCCTCATTCAAAGGTCTCTTAAACTCAAGCCCTAATTACCCATTTTTCCCAAAATTTCCACCACTAATTAGGTCTTTAATCACATAAAAATGAGTTATAAAGTCAAGGATGTTACCTCCAAGTGATTCCCCTTTGTTTTCCTCAAAATCTCTCTTAAAAGCTTCAAACCCAGATGAAAAAAGTGAAAGAATCGCTCAAATTCGTGAAGGCAACTATTTATATGTTCTGCCCAGTGATTTCCGCATCTGCGACCCTGGGACCGCATCTGCGGTCCCACTTTTGTGGACCCAAGGTCACACCTGTGACTTTCACTTAAATCCCAGAAATCGCATTTGCGATTACCCTTTCGCAGATGCGCCATCGCTTCTGCTGTATTCCTTCTGCATCGGCGAAACCTGAAGACCCTCCCTAGATCCGCTTTTACGATGGATCCGCCGCTTCTGCGGCTCCGCACCTACGGAACCGAAACCGCAGGTACGATTATGATAGAAGACCAGCTACTGCATCTAACTTCAAACTCCGAATCCTTCCATCAACCTTCTGAATTCACCCCGAGGCACACAGGACCTTAACTAAAGGCATCAACAAGTCACAAACCACTATCCAAACTTGTACCAATCCTTAAAACACCTAAAACAACGTCGAAACCTCGAATTAACCATGGATTTAAGCCTAAGAACTTCAAATTTCTCAAAATACGCTTTTGATTAAAAAGTCTATCAAACCTCGTCTGAATGACCTGAAATTTTGCACACACGTCACATTCAACACTACGCAGCTACTCCAACTTCCGTAATTTCATTCCGACCCTCAGATCAAAATCTCACTATCGGACCGAAAACTTCAAAAATTCAACTTTCGGCATTTCAAGTATAAATTAGCTACGGACCTCCAAAACACGATCCGAACACACCCCTTATCCCAAAATCACCTAACGGAGCTAACGGAATCATCAGATTTCCATTCCGAGGTTGTCTTCACACAGTTCTGACTACGGTCAACTTTCTAACCCTTAAGCTCTCATTTAGGGACTAAGTGTCCCAAAACTCTCCGAAACTCAAAACCGAACATCCCGACAAATCAAAATGGTAGCAATAAACTTGGGGAAAGCTGTTAATAAGGGATTGGAGCATTAATTCTTAAAACAATCGGCCGGGTTGTCACAATGAGCCCCTTTATCTAGAACTCTGGTGCAGTCAGTTTTAGAGTCGAATGTGTTTTGAAAGAAAAAAATATTTTTAAATGGTAACCTCGCACACCGAAATGAAATGTCAGTTGGCGACTCTGAATAATCTTTTAAGACACTATAATTGTCACTTTCAAATTTGAAAACTCTTTTGAGCTTTAAAAATCCTATTTTATCTTTAAAGAGGGTTAGTAAGGTGAAAAAGGGGTGTGACATCTCTAACGACCATAAATGATATGGCTTTTATATAAAGAATACTACCAAAAGTTGAAAGCTCTCGATTAATTCTTTGAATAAACAACTATTGGAGAGCATAATTTGGAGATAAAAACATAAAATGAGGAACATAAATCAATCCAAAACTTTTCTATACGAAGAATCTCTTCTATTTAAAGCTCGAAATATACTACGTTGGGAAGATTGATTTTAACTGTTATTGACCATAAAGCAAAAATATGTTCGAAGGAATGACTCAGACTTTATACTTCAAAGAACTTTCATGGGATACCCGACAATCAACACCATACTACGGAAGATAATATGTTACAAATCGAATTCAATATTGCCAAAGGGGAGGAGGGAAAGTTACATATGTAGAAGAAGGTATTACTTAGTCAAGGGTATAATTGTGGATAGTTGTTAGAGAGTCGACTAATTATGTTAGATATTGTTAGGAGTTAGTTAACACTATTACTTTTTCTTATAAGTAGTTAGTGGTTGTACAACTGTTATTCATTCAGAACATTTTCATTTTGCTCATCAATATACAGAGCTTTCATGTGCGCTTTTGTTCTCTCCTTCTTCTTCTCCCAATCTAGGGATTTCCATTGCTGATCTCGCTTAAACTTGACTTGGTATACGAGCTATTAACCATAATTGTGAGCTAATTATCTTCGATTTTGCGATCAAATTGCTCAATGGTAGAGTCCGATCTCAAAATTTCTTCGATCTCAACAATGGTGAAAACAGATCTCGATCACAATCACATTTTGTATCTTCATTCTTCAGACACTACCGGAGCGCCGATAGTCTCAATTCAGTTGACCGAAACTGAAATTACTACGTTTGGAGTCATGAGATGCAAATCCAGTTGTTAGGAAAGAACAAATTAGGGGTGATCGACGGAATTATGAAAAGAGAGGATTTTGAGGAAGATCTGGGTCATCAGTGGGACAGGTGTAACGCAATTGTGCTTGGATAGATAATGAGCTCTGTTTCAAAGGAATTGTTAACAGGCACAGTGTATGCAAAAGATGCATGTCGTGTCTAGGAAGATCTGAGAGAGCGTTTGCAACACTTCATCAAGGAACAAACGATGTTTCTGTGTATTTTACCAAACTCAAAGAGTTATCGGATGAGTACGAGAGCATGACTCCTCCAAGCTGTGACTGTAGGAGATCTAAGGATTTCAATGAGCATTTGCATAGGCTTTTCTAATGTGATTTCTGATGGGACTTAATGAGAATTATGAGCATGCACGGAGTCAAATCCTTATGACTAATCCCACTCCAAGTGTTAGCAAAGCATATTCTATGATAATTGAGAGAGAAAGCCAGAGATCATTCTCAAATGCATCTATGGTAGGAGAAGGATCAGAAGCCACAACTTTTCTATCTACAAAAGGAGACAATTATCCAAAACCTAAGAAGAATTGGAACATTCAGTGTGAATTTTGTAATATGAAAGGGCTTAGTAAGGAGAATTATTATAAAATTGTAGGTTATTATGCGGACTTCAAGTTCAGAAAGAAAGGATAGGGCAATTCAATTGCTTACAATGCCAATGCAGGGAACTATACACCAAATGTTCTTGGACCTAATACAGGTGGAAATGATGATGGAGACACAACTGCTTTGAATGAGATTCCTAGGCCACCAGTGTTTACTACTGATCAATACAATCGAATCCTCATAATTCTAAAAAATTAGCCTCCTCAGGAAAGTATGGCTGATATGGTAGGTACTATTCATTCCTATATGGCTAGTATAGCAAAAAAGGATTGCATTATACATATAGGGGCAACAAACCATATGATATCTGATTTAGATATGTTGCATTCTGTTCGCAAAACTGATTACTTAAGCAGTAAAATAGTGCAAATGCCAAATGGCCAGGTGACTTCAGTGTCTCATGTTGAGGAATGTTTACTCTTGTAAGATGCAGTAATGAAGAATGTATTATTTTTTATGTCAGTATCAAAAGTAACTAGAGACCTTCACTGTCACGACCCGGTTCGCCCTCCATGAACCATCGTGACGACAACTAGTCTCTACGACTAGGTAAGCCTAAAATGCGGAATATAACCCAAACTTGTAGAAGAAAAGAAAATAGAAATAATGTAATATAATAACGTTTTAAAAGTGTCGCTCGGCATACAAAATATAACTCTCAAATCCAAAATATATCTCTCCCAAAACCCGGAAACCCATGAATCACAAGCTAAGGATATTACATAGTGCTCTAACTCCAGAATAGTCTAAAACAAGTAACTACAGAAGGGCTGTAACTACAAAAGAGAATAGAGAGAGACTCATCGGTCTGCGGATGCGGCAGATATACCTCAAAATATCCGAAGGGTCGCCTCGCCTCAAGGATGGTAAGGTTGAGTCAAGGTACCTGGATCTGCACATAAAAAACATGCGCAGAAAGGGCATGAGTACATCACAATGGTACTCAATAAGTGCCAAGCATATCCTCGGTCGGNAGGTAAAATGACCAAAACGCCCCTCGGGCCCACGTCTCGAAATCGGGTAAAATTTATATTTTCAAATCCTCACACTCTCACGAGTTCATGCATATCAAAATTATCCAAATCAAAAGTCAAATTCTAGGTCTAAGAACTTTCTTCCAACTTTTCCCCAATTTTCATCTCCAATCCGAAATTAAATGATGAATTCATGTTTAGATTAATGGGTTACAGGCAAAAAGGAGTAAGGAATCGTTATCCAATTGATATCTTTGAAAATTTCTCAAAACCTCGCTCAAATCCGAGCTCCCAAGCTCTAGTTTTCACAAAAATGGCTAAACCCTCGATTTTGAACTTAAACATTCTGCCCAGCTAATTCCTTCCTCGTGAACGCGGAAGGCCCCTCATGTTCGCGAAGCACAACTTAACTTGGCCAAGAATTCCTTCATCGCGAAAGCGGTAGCATCATTCTCCCCTCTACGCGAACGCGGGACCCTCATTGCGAACACGTAGGCATACTACCTCACAGCTTCGCGAATGCGGGGCCATCATTGCGAACGTGAAGCATTAAGCTTCAACCAGCCCCAGCTCCTCTTCACGAACGCGAGACCCCACTCGTGAACATGAAGAAGGAAACCAGAACTGGAGACCTGCTACATTTTCTGCAATTCTCTAAGTCCAAAAATGACCCGTTGAGCATCCAAAACACACCCGAGGCTCCCGGGACCTCAACCAAACCTACCAACATATCCCATAACTTCATTCAAACTTGCTCCAACCTTCGGAATGCTCAAAACAACATCAAAACACCTATTTTCTATCAGAGTCAAGCCTAAGAATTCCAAAAACTCTAAAAATACGCTTTCGATCAAAAAGTCTATCAAACCTCGTCCGAATGACCTAAAATTTTGCACACACATCACATTAAACACTACGGAGCTACTCCAACCTCTGGAAATCCATTCTGACCCTCGGGTCAAAATCTCACTATCGAACTGGAAACTTCAAAAATTCAACTTTCGGCATTTCAAGCCTAAATTAGCTACGGACCTCCAAAACACAATCCCAACACTCCCCTAAGCCCAAAATCACCCAACAGAGCAATCAAAACCATCAGATTTCCATTCCGAGGCCGTCTTCACACTGTTCGACTACGGCCAACTTTTCAACACTTAAGCTCTCATTTAGGGACTAAGTGTCTCAAAACTCTCCGAAACTCAAAACCGAACGTCCCGGCAAATCAAAATATCAGAAATAAACTCGGGAAAAGCAGTTAATAGGGGATCGGGGCATAAATTCTTAAGACGACTGGCCGAGTCATCACATTCACTACTCTATTACCTTTTTCGTTGACTTTTGTTTGTTCTAGGACTTCTCAAATGGGAGGGTGAATGGGATTGGTAGAGAGAAATGAGGCTTATATCTCTTTGTTTCTAATGTTGACTTAATAAGCAGAGGACTAATTGTTACTACAGAGGAGAAGAACATT